GGGGGGGGGGGGGGGGAATGGGATCTGGGATCAGGGGAGAGATCATGGACACCACTACATACTGTAATACGGCCACGGCCACTGTATTACGGCCATCATCCCCCTCCCTTTCCTCTGTTGGATTTCCACATACGCATGCTTGGTCATCGACTCGAGCAGCTTGATGCCGATCCCCCTCCCCCCCCCCCCCCCGTCTTGGCGCCAACGCCAACCGACGGTGCTACCACCAACCGGGGGGATCTGGCGCACACTCTGCCGGGCGCGAGAGAGCAGACACTCAACACGCACGCACACACACACACACACACACACACGCGCGCGCGTCACATATATTCCAATAATGTCTGCTGTGGAGAATGTGGGCGGAGCCGTGGATGCCGTGGAGGTGTCAGGAGGCGTTGTCGAGGCCGTGGTGGTGCCGAACGGGGTGGACCTGGCGACGATTGATGTGGACGCTCTCGGAACGTCCGTCTTTCTCACGGCGGTGCAAGAGTCCAAGGCCGAGCTGGCAGCAACCTTGGAGGATGTACAAGCCGAAGTCAAGGCAGCAGAGGCGCTGCAGGTCCACATCGCAGAGTATGTTGCTCAGCAAGAGTCCAAGCGTGCTCAGCTCGAGTCGTACCTCGCGGATCTGTTCGCCAAGACTCAGGACGACGACACGGCCCTCATCGAGCTGCCGACCAACTACGAAGACGTGCTGGCCGCGATGGACGCGGCCGCTCGTGCCGATCGCAACGAGGCCGGAGAAGCCCCTCCCTTGCTGAAGAGGACGCTGACGATGCGGTCTCGGTCTCCTCGGCCGCCTCGGGCGCCACCCACAAGTCCGACTGGTCTGAGCTTATGGAGTGGGGCAGCGGCGCAGCCGAGCTTGGTCTTGATCTTGGCAGCGGCGAGTCGGAAGAACTGACCCAGGCCGAGCGCATCCGCCGCGGGATGGCTGTCATGCGCAAGCTGGACATGCGGCTGATGCGGCTGCACCAGCAGGCGCGTGAGCTGCGCGCAAACGCAGAGAGCGGCGCGAGCCAAGAGAGCGAAGGAGAGGAGGATGCAGAGAATAGCGGAGATGCAGGTGCGCTGTCGTTGAGCCGGGCAAGCACAGGCAGCAGCCACCGGCCGAGCGCCGCCGTCTCTCGAGTGACTGCGCGGACTAGTCTGTGCTCGGCCGAGGACAGCGCACTTGTTGACGAGCTGATGGCGCAAGACTCGGAGGAAGAAGAGGCCATGGCTATGGCGTGCTATCCGAGCGATGTAGACGCGGCACGACTCGACGAGATCAACGCGGCACTCCGAGCGTACGCGCCCGACGACGAGTGGGAGGCGCTGTCGCTGACCTCGCGGTTTGGCGACGCGACGTCGCGGCGGACAAGCCAGATGGAAGCGCTGGAGGCGGCCCAGACGACGGCAACTGGCAAGCGCGATTATCTTCGGGAGGCGCGGGTCAACCGCGAGCAGCGCGACCGACTGTTTGCAGTCGAGCGCTCGCTCCGTGAGCTCGCCACGCTCGACGACGAGAACGCAGCGCCGTCAGTTGTCCGGGCCCTACTTCTCGATGCCATTGCTGAGCAGACCGCCGCGGGCACGCTTGACGTCGATGAGCTTGATCCGGATGCATTTGAGCTCATCTCGGCCGAACATCTCGTCGATGGCGGCAAGGTGCCACAGCTGCGCAAGCTGACGTCGGCGGCTGCGCCGCTCTCGCTTCAGCCGCAGCTTCCGACGGCGCTCCACGTTGGGGACGAGGTGCCCGGCAGCGCTGATGCTGACGAGCAAGCTGCATAATAACAGCTGTACATGTCGATTTACTCAGAGCAAGAGCTGGGCATCGGCGGCGTCGGCGAGGATGGCGTGCCAGGCGCGGTCGACGGCCGAGAGCGCCGAAACAAAGAGCTGCTTCTCGGCCTTGCGGAGCGAGATGATGGCGGCGGCAGTAGAGGCTGAGTCGAGCTCAGCAAGGGCGGCGTTGTCTTCGGCAATGGTGGTCGGGTAGTCGTCGAGCGACGAGGTGAGCGAGGCGCGGATGGTGGCAAAGACGGCGAGGTCGTTGTCGGCCGAAAAGCGCTCGTCGGTCGGCCAGGACTCGCCGGTGGCGGCCTCGCGGGCGGAGATGCGGGCGTAGTCGTCGACGGTGAGGAGGGCGAGGCGCATGCAAGCGAGAAAGCTGAGCGGGAGCTCGTCGCCAACGTAAAAGAGGTCGGCGACTGCGTCCGGAGTGAAGCACTTGGCGTTGGCGAGGAGGGCGTCGATGGTGGCGGCAAAGACGTTGTCGGCATTGTCATCTACCGGGTTGTAGTTGAGGCCAAGAAAGGCGACGTCGGGCAGAGCGTGGCCACCGAGCGAGGGGCCGTGGAGCGCAAAGAGCTCGGCGGCCGAGGCGGGGGCGGCGTTGAGGAAGACCTCCTCACCGGGGGCCAAATCACGGGTGGCGGTGAGGACGATGCGACCCGACTTCGAGACCGAAGCCTCGACCGAGCCGTTGACAGTCCGATGGAGCATGTCCATGAGCGGGACAAGGACAAGCTCACCCGACGGCGTGGTCCATGACCGCGAGTGGGCGAGGTAGTACGCCCACTCGACGTCGTGCGGCTCGAGGCTGGCCGGCGGGAAGAGGGCCGGGAACATTGACTCGAGCTGAGTCACGATGCTCTTGAGCGACGCAGCCTCCTTGGTCTGCTGAACAACTCGCCACGCCAGGCCGCCCTGCATCTCGGACACCAGCTCGCGGCCGTAGAAGAGCGGAGCAGCGTCAAAGGTCTCGGGCAAGATCTCGATGTAGCCTGCAAGAAGCGAGGCTTCCCAGTCGTCGCGGACGGTCTCATGAGCAAGCGCCAGCGCGAGCGCCATCTTGGCGTCCAGGCCGCGAGCCATGGCCATGGCCATGATGTCATGGATGGAGGCATCAGCCGGCGATGGCGGTGCGCCCCCGGCGGCGCGGATAGCCTCGACTGACGGGGTGGCAAGCCGGAGCGAGGCTGGGAACGAGGCCAACACCTCGCCAGCCGCCACTGGCACGCCCACCGTCAGACCCATGTCCCCAGGCACCACACCAGGCAGCGGCTCAAGCACCGTCGCCTCCACACCGGCACCAGTGAGCGAGGCCACAAAGGCCTTCCAAGCCTCGCGAGCCTCGCCAGCCTGGCCAAACTGAGCCGCGCCTTCAGCACCCAGCTCACTTGCTTCACCACTACGCACAGCTGCGATAGCCACCACCACCACCACTGCCAGTACCACACACATGTAGCGCTGAATCATGTCTGTCTCGCTTGTTACAGTTCTGCCGAGTGAGAGTCGAGTATGTTTTGTTGAACACGTGAATTCGCTCTACCCTCCGTCTCCCCTTTCCCCGTCGCCTCCTCTTCCACTTGAAGCAGCTTGTACAAAGAGCGATCGAATGCCATTGTGCTCAGTAGAGTGGTCCAGGGTCTGAGCGAGGATTCTTAGGCCAGATGCTGTAGTTGCGGGTGGCATCCGACCAGGGAGCCGCGGCCAGCCCATGCACTTGAGAAGAAACCAGCCGCAGAGCGGGTGACGGGTTGTGGCATTCCTTCGCAGCCATTCCTTCGCAAATTTCAGACCAACGCAGTCGATTGCTCCCCCCTCACAACTTGTGAGCCATCCATCCATCCGGAGACGACCGGCAGGACATAGGGGCCGAGGCACAGGCACGACGACGTTCTCTACCGACACACCACTCGGTTCAACGAGACAAGGACAGAGAGTCATGGCGGACGACGACATGATGCTGATGCAGATGGAGGACGAGGAGGGGACAACGTTTGGGGCCGAGGAGCTCGCGGCAGCAGGCGAGGCGGGCGAGGACGACGACGAGCTCGAGCCGCTCGAGAATGTCGGCACCGGCAACCTTCCCGAGTTCACGCCGGTCGACCCGACATCATTGATCGAAGTCGAGGAGGTCCGCCGGCTCCCGGTTCCGCCGCACCGGTACACGCCGCTCAAGCAGAACTGGGAGCACATTGTTGACCCCATCGTCAACGTCCTTGGCCTCGCCATCCAGATGAACGTCAAGGCCCGCAAGATCGAGATCCAGAACTGCGAGTACACCACAGACTCGTCGGCCCTCCAGCGCGCCGCAGACTTTGTTAAGGCCTTTCTCCTGGGCTTTGACCTCGACGACGCCATGGCTCTCCTCCGCCTCGACGACCTGTACGTCGACTCGTTCGAGATCGACGACGTCAAGCGGCTGCAGGGCAACCACCGCTCGCGCGCCATCGGCCGCATCTGCGGTGCCCAGGGCAAGACAAAACACACCATTGAGAACGCGCTCCGTGTCCGTATCGTCGTCGCAGACTCCAAGATCCACATCCTCGGCGCCTTTACCAACATCAAGCTCGCCCGCCGTGCCGTCTGCTCCCTCATCATGGGCACCCCGCCCGGCAAGGTGTACGGTCAGCTCCGCTCGGCTTCGGCCCGGCTTGCCACCCGCTACTAGTCCTCTAAGATCTGTAAAAACGAAACACTCCTCCGTGGCCAAGCCCCCCCCCCTCCCCTACCCCCCCCCCCAACCTCCTCTTCCACCCTTCCACCCTTCCAGTTCGTTCTACCAGTTTTTCCGCCGTGACAAAAATATTATCACCACGCCCCCCTCCCCCCCCCCCCCCCAACCATCCCCCCCCCCCTATTCGCCTCTGCCAACTTGCCACTCGCCGCTGCACAACCCCACTCCCCACCACTCCCCACCGGCACAACCCTTGGCTGCGGAGGGGGCAAGCGCCATGGCCACACTCAAGAGAAAGATAGTACGCCCTCTCCTACCCTCCTCCCCCTCTCCCCCC